AAGGCACTTTATTACGGTTAGATTAGTTGAACTAGGCATTATCTCCAATGCAACCCCACATTTCAATGCTGGTATCTTCACTTCAACCCTTGTCTACACCCTGAAATATCAGATGGGAGATGCAGAGACTGCAGACAGGGACGTGCTCAGGGACCAACTCTGCAGGAATACAAACTGCAAGAAGAAATCTCAGAGCAGGGGGTTCCATCAGCAGGAAATCAGAGTCCTTAAACAAGAGGGGAAACAGGACAGACATCAGTTATACAACATGAATTACTTTATCTATCAGTCACTCCGGAAGCTTCACATCTCACAAGTGGAAAAGTTGGAGGTTCTTCACTCGAGTGATGTAACACTTGGAATAATGGCAATTTACTACACCCCTAACCAATATTGTCCAAAATGTGGAGCTCTTTCTACCTGGTGTGTGCCAAAGCAAAGGTTATTAAGTGTTATAGAGCGTTATAAAGAGTTTGTGACACAGCAGTACCAATATTGGTCACACACATGAAAATGCCTACAATGGCAAGGACTTCAGATTAGGTCCCAAATGAAACATTTCAAAATGAAGTGTTCTATTAAAAATCAAAGCAGCAGTCGTGCAAGGCAACCAGAAAAGAAAATAATAGTTTTCAAAATTCTAATTTATTAAAGGAGACTCAGCAAATGACAATAGAATTTTTAAAAAATACATGGTCTAAACCACAGCTCAGGATCAGAAATTCCCGTTAAAAACTCACCATAAATCCATTTAATAAGAAATACTAACAGCAGCAGCAGCAAGAGATGAAATGTAACAACTATAAACAAGATGCAATTGTTGCTAATCCTTTCCCTGCACCAAAAGCTCAAGATGACCAAGTATCCTCCAGCTTTACTTCCCACAATTTGCTGATGTTCCTTCTACCCGGTGTAAACGCTCCAAAGAGCAGACTGGGGCATGGCAGGCTATTCCTGTGTAATACAACACTTTGTACCAGCTCACTACCCGTGAATGCTGACGAAGAGAAACTATTTCAATGTTGCAGTGAATTGTCTTCTTTTCCAATCAACTGAGCAGAGCCGGACAATGCCTAAAGCGGAACAGTCTCCCTAATGATTTCACTAATATTTACATCTTTTGCCATTTTAAAGCCATTATTCCACTTTTGTCTCCAACCAAGTTTCCATGAGGAGGCATTCACACATCCTGAGCAGCAGCAAGGCCCTCAAAAGAACAGCAGTTTCCAAGAGGTGCTGCAGGAAACACCACAGTCAAAAGTAACACAAACTCCAGCATCATCCTCAACCTCTCTGCTCCAGAAAGTAAAAGCAGCCCAACTGGAAAGGACACCTGCTTTACAACACTTCACAGTCAAAAATAAATTCCATTTCCTACCCTTTTGACTGTTTCAAGGAGAAGGCAATTGATCTGTTTTCTTGACACGACCCCAGCCCTGCCAAGCAACCTTGCCCTGAGCACCTGGAGACAGGAATCACGTCCTGCTTATGTAACTGCTTGGGACTGCCTGGAACAGGATCCATCCCTGCTCTTGGGAAGAACAAATAGATAGGTTTATACTGCAATCCTGCCTTCCACGCAAGTTTTTCCAGAGGAATACAGTTGGAAAAAAAAAAAAAAAAAAAAAAAAGGAGAAAATCCTTTTCTGAGCTTACTCATACGCTCACAAAGGTCACTTCAAAATTTGGTTTATATATCTAATGTTTCGTAACACTTCGCTTCGTACAAATCCCAAGTTTAAAATATTGTAAGCCACAAAAAGCTAATGCATTAAAGATAAATTTAACATGAAATCATGTTTCTTAATTTGTGCATGGATTCCATGTAATATCATCAGTGTAACAATGGGCATTTTTTTTTTTTAAATCCATCCATTTAACATACTGATCTGAAGCTTTATTTAT